TTGTTGGCCTGGACCCGGAGGGGGGGGGGGGGCAAAGAGCATACAGTTTGCCCAGGATGTCTGGACATAGCCGCGGATTTTACCTACAACGCGTGTGCAGGTCGGCTGCACGGTTTCGGAGGTGCTGTCTCCCGCAGAATCAAGGAACCATGCTTCGAGGCGACTGTGTTTCCGCTAAGAGCATTGCCTACATTGCGGTCACGTTAGTGCAACGATGCTGTACCAAGGCGAATTCATTTACCTGTCGATTCTTGATTTTCCTTTTGAATTCATAGTGCTACCCGCGACAAAGGGTAATGGACACCGCCTGTTGGTTCGATGGCGTTCAAGTCAATCTGTCCGGTGCCACGTCCGAGCCAAACACGACTGCAGGTAGATCACAGTAGAAAAGCATGACGAACTCTGTTGGTAGAAGCTTGCCCAGAAACAGTGACGGACATTGTCGTTGGCGTGTTTGGCTCTGCGTGCGTCGTCAGAAGGATAGACTCGGAGAGAACCGACCTCTAGAAACAGGCGCAGGACTGCTCGTTCCCCTAACGTCAGGGAGGGAGAATGCCAGAATCTGGGACAGTTGTGTAGGGAATGATGTCATCTCTATATCTATGCTCAAGGACAGCTGTGTAGCACACGTGTCTACGGCGAAGCTGCCACAAAGGCATTGAAGTTGTATGTCACGGGCGTGGTCTTGAAGTTCATGCCGGGCGGAACAAACGCTGTAATGTTCGTGCCGCGCACGATGGCACTGGAGACCGTGCAATTCGTGACAAGCGGTAGCTTGAGCTTAGTTGTCCCCGCCGATACGCTCGCCACCACCGTGGAGGGCCCGCATGCGAGCGTGACGTTGGCCGGTGCGGTCAGCTGGACAACCGCCCAGAGGTAGTCTTGGGTCTATGGGGTCAAACACAGGGAATGGGCAGTGAGAAACGGTACATGGAAAGTTTGAGGAGATAACGCACCCACTGCCAGTTCGTGGCTTGCCAACAGCGTCATTCGTTGCATTTGCCGCGGCGGGGAACAGCCGCGCCCAGAGGAAGGTGCGGTCTCGGGTGATGGGTGGGTAAGATCCCGTCTTGAAGGCGGTGATGTAGTACGCGATGAGGTCAAGCCAGCCTACGAACGCACGGAGTCGCCAGTCAGCACAGAATGACCGGATTTTGGGGAACGGATAAAGGAGGGCTAAACAGAAAAGACGCCTACCAGTATGCTCGAAGCCATTCACCCATGCCTGCGACATGGGCTGTACGCCCTCGATCGGGCCAACGTAGTGCGACTCGCCGTAGTCGTTCCAGGTGTTGACTTCGACGAAGTTGACGACGCTTCTGTTCGTAACGAGCTCCTCCCAGCGTTGCGCGAGCAACCAGTCGTCGCCACGATAGATGAAGTTCTTGTTATAGGTGTTTGGGCCATAGTGCTACCACCGATGGGCATGAGTGGACGTGCAGCGAAGAGGGGAGAGGACGTACTGTAAAGAACCATGGCGAGGCGGCGGCCATGTACGAACGGTTCCCAAGGTTGGAGATGTATGACTGGTCCTGGTCGAACGTGATGTTGTAATCACCCATCGGCCAGCCCGAGTTCCACTGCTCGATGTGATTATCGTCATCAGCAGCGAGAAGAAGAACACGTACACCAAAAGCACCATCCAGCACTGAGTAGTTCTTGAATGTCGCGGGATCTACGAAAAAACTCGGCACGAAGTACGTGTTCAGCCCGTTCTTGACGGTGTTCGTCCAGCCCTGGTTCACGGAGCTTGTTCCGAACGTGCAGTCCTGGCCAGCGAACGTCGATACGAACACCTTGCCGTTGTAGAGCAGCTGGTTTGTGTGTGCGGTGTAGTTCTGGATGTACTGTCGGATGATTGGCACGTTCGTCGTCGCGGCGCATGGGAATGACGTCATGTCGAAGGAGAAGAAGAGCTTGAAGGTCGTGTTCAAGCTACGGGCGGCGGCATACGCGTTGCTGACCTGCCCCGGCTCCCAGCTGTCATTGCCGATATTCAGAGCGAAGGCGTCGATGCCCTTTGAGGACGCCAAGGAGATATCTAAAGAGGTATTCGTCAATCAGCCTGGAGAAGATAGAGAAAACATACCGTTTGCCCAGGATAACTGAGTATAATTGTAGGTGTTACCTACGATGTGGTGTGCGAAGACCAGCTTCGTGGAGGATGGCTGCGCGGTTGCTAAAGTTGAGGTCGATGCCGGACCTGTTGGGGCAGTAACAGTCGCCGCTGTCGTAGTGGGGACTCGGCTTGCCGAAGAGGACTGGGCGGACGTGCTTCTCAAGGATGCACTGCTCGTAGGGGATGCCGGCTGTATTTGTGACGACGATGCACGGAGTGAAGACCTGGAAGAAGACGATGATGATGATGATGATGATGATGATGTCCTCCTGATATCGTCTACGGGAGACGTAGGCTGTGGCGCGACAGAAGAAAACGCTGATATCGTAGACGTCGTACACGTTATCGTCCGAGTCCCCGCGTCGGAGAACTGGCCAGCGAAGCTAATGCTGACGGAGGTTGATGGCAGTGTTGAGCCGGATGAAGTATTAGGAGGCACTTCAGAAGCACTCGAAAACACGTCTGCTGCTAGTGGCTGCAGGACCACGCCTTGCGCGTCGATGAGAAGCTCTTGCACGTCCTGCCATGGCACCACGGCCGCCTGGGCCGCCAACAGCAGCTGAAGCACCGCGAAACAAGCGACAGCGTCAAGCTGCATCATAACTAGAAAGTCTGGGGACGATAGGATGAGAGCGGGCGAGAAAGGCTGGAAAAGGAGGACTGCCAACCAAAATGTGTCGAGTCTTGGATGTCAGCCTCATTGGAGGTGCTGACCACTGTTAGGAGACTAGCGGAAGCAGTGTCTCTCTGGCCCTACATGGAAACAACTTTAGAATGGTGAATCCAGGGCCGCGCTCCAAAGAAGAAACATGGCAAGCATATGGTCGAAGGTGCTGACCGTCCGTTTTGGAAAAGGTGCAGCACTCACCGAGCGTCATGGGCTTCGTCTGAACAAGTTTAAAGCAGCCTGTTGCTTGCCCTAGGGCAGCTTGTTCGAACTGAAGTTCTAAGCCCATGCTGCGTGTATGGGTGGTGTTGTGCAACTTGCACAGCGCGTCGCGGCCCGCGTCGAGGTCCGTTTCCGAGCGACTCGGGGCGCTTATATTACATGCGCCCTTTTCGCTTCCTCTGGATTCTCTCACCACTCCCGAATTCTGTGCCTGCTTGAGGGTGCGCTCGACCGTACTCGAGCTACGGATGCTGCGCTGCAGCCTTATCTCTAGAATTCTGCAGTCTTTTTCCAAGCCTACCTTCGTGTGCCGCCACTGGGGGCCAGATCCTTACACCCGTCGGGCGGTCTAGTACTATCCGCTGGAGATCGCTTGCATTTTGGCGCCCGCTCGATTTATTACCGCAAGATGCGCATACTGACATGAACCGACACTAATTCTTCCCCGCTACAGGTCCATGGACTTGTAGTTGTGCTCAGAACCGAACATGAATAAATTAAGAGAATGGTGCTATCGCTGGGCATCGGGGTCGCTGACTGTTCCGTCATGTTCGGAATGCCTTTCAGAGGTGATCTGCGCGCTGTAGTACCTTGGACCAAAGTCTGAGTCGCGACATCGTTAGGCATCGTTTCGAGTTCTCGAGCAGGTCCATGCCGCGGGTCAGCCAGCCTTGGGAGCGAGCTGCGACAGCGCTGTGACATGTTTCGGCTCATGTAGGGACCTGCCGCTACACTCCCGGCTGCCTGACTATTCGACGGGTAAAGCTCTTGGAGGCTGTCCGAGGCGATCCAGAAACGGTTCTGAAGTGCATTCCGGCTGGCATATGGCTAACCGGGAGGGCTCCTGGGTATTTATCTTCGCAGGCATGTTGCTGTTCACCCACTCAGCGGTCATCTGGTCTTTCCCTGTGAGTGGATGGTGCCCTCATCGCATGTGTGCCCTCCCTTCTTCTTTGTAACTCACAGCCCCCTCGTAGATTCTTTTCTTTCACCTAATACTCGCGACTACGCATATCGGTGCTGAGCACTGGAACTCATGTTGCCGTACAGGAAACGGTCGTCCGTCTGGAGCGTAGGGAGCACCGGCTCGAGCTCCTCGATCTCGACGTCAACCGTTGCTTCGTCACCCATCACCACACCAGGTCTGCTGCCTATCACGTGCTCCGACGTCCCCGAGGATGCAGACGGCGAGGATGAGCAGCCACCGATGATCTCTATCAGCGACGAGCAAGTTGAAGAGCATCCGTTCGACCCGAGTATCCCAGACGAGATGTATTGCCGGATGATGCTGCGGGCTGCGTCCTCCGAACAGAGCCCTCCTGTCTCGTCGACGTCAGGAGGTTTTCATGAGCGCGTCAGCCGCCTCTTTGCGGCACACATACCTCGCCGCGCTGTCTCGCCGCCAAACGCTACCGCCGGCTCGCCGTCGGAGTCGTCAAGACCCTCTGGATCGTGGCTGTCAAGGCTGCGACCACGGAGGGAGTCGCACGACTCGGAAGAAGCTGTGCCTGTCAGCGCACAGGCGAGTGCCGAATGCAGGGCACGGGCCCAGGAGCTGGCCACGGTTATCTCGTGTACGAAACGCCCATCGGGGAGTCTCTGCCTTGTTTCGCTCGACCAGGCACAGAGGCGGGAAGACATCGTTCACCGACCGGAAGGCTTTGAGCTGGCTGAGCGCAAGGACAGCCTGGTTTCGCAATGGTGACTTCGATTCTCTTTTATTTGGATTCAGGATGTAAGGCTAGGCTATCATAAACCCCACGATGAGGATACTATACGCTGCGCGATGCGAATATAATGATTCGGATTTCGGCTCAAGCACATGCACGACTCGAGTCAACTTATGGCAGCAGCATTTAGCGAGGTGGTTCGCCATCACCGCTCACGCTGCGCCACGAAGGGCGCTGAATGCATCGGCCGAAGAGCTCGAGTCAATGTCAAGCTCGAGATATACATATATACACGAGCGGGGAAGCAGTCCGCACATCCGCACTTTGACACGTCATGGCGACCTACGCAAAGACGACCTATAACGCGGCCAGGTATGCAGCGATACGGCCCACATATCCTAAACAGCTCTTCGACTTCGTGTTTCATTACCACGGACTTGGTCCCAAGGCGCGTTGGGGGACCGCGGTGGACATCGGTTGCGGTACCGGTACGTCGCCATTTGTTTCGCTATTATGCTGTCCCAGTGCTGACTGGGAGGCAGGCCACGCTACCGTCGAACTGAGGCCATTCCAAAATGTCATCGGTGTCGATCCCAGCAGCACCATGATAGAGCAGGCCCAGAAGCATATCGGCACGACGGCGTATGCAGGGGAACTTGAATTCAAACAGTCGGCGGCTGAAGAACTATCATTCTTGGAGGATGGCAGTGTAGACTTGGTCACGTCAGGTTCGTGGAATAGCACTTGCTGTGGCCAGCTCCAATCTCATCAGCTGCTCCGGCTCTCAGCCCAGTCCGCTCATTGGCTCGATTGGAAGAAAGTCTGGCCAGAAGTGGCTAGGGTGCTGAGGCAACATGGAACACTTGCCGCCTGGGTGCGTGTGTCTCGTCGACACCTGCTTGTCTCTTCACTCATTCTGACGCAGGGATACTCTGAGTTCCGCCTCCCTCGCTACCCTTCTGCGACGTACCTTATACACGAGTATTCTCGGGGTACCGATCCCGAGAAGTCTCTGGGCCCCCACTGGGAACAGCCAGGACGCAGCATACTCGACGATCATCTGGTGGGCGTGCCGGATCCTGGGTCCGTCGTCCCGGACAAGTTCCAAGACTTCGAACGGATTTACTTCACTGGTGCGTTAGTCTCACAGCTCTAACCATCACAGTACCTCACGCGAAGTCTAGGCAACTACCACCCTCACTTCCCTTCTCCACGACCAATTATTCTGCCGAAGAAGATGACGTGGGACGACCTGCTGTCCTACCTGCATACGTTCAGCTCCTTCCACACGCACCAGACTAGGTACCCTGCTGACAAGGAGAACCCACATGGTGACATCGCCAGGCGATTCCGTGACAAGTTGAAGGAGCACGCGGCAGAGCAGGATAGCAGTGCACTGCCGAAGGATACCGATGAAGTCGACGTTGAGTGGCCTGTGGCACTTCTTCTTGCTCGTCGTAAGTAGCATACTGCTAGCGTATTACTTTATTTGCACTCGACCTCTCACCTCGTAAAGGTGTCAATGAGTCGCAATAGCAAGTAGTAGTGTCACCTCGACCTGGGAGGGGTTGATTCAATAAGAACAGTAGTATTAGGCTGGCCAGCCATTCTATAATCTGGATTGGGATGAAGAGAGTGAAAACGTAACTTCGCCGGTCTAAGAAACACTCCTTGTCTGGCCCCGACGATCGGCCCTATGAGAAAGACAGAAAATATATATCAACGGCTCACCTGCGAGCGCACCTTTTGGATATTCAGGAGATTCTCTTAGTCGTGGCGCGGCACCTGCGTACGCAGCTCTCGCCATGCGTGTCTCGCGAGCGCGTACATTGAATGGCAGTTAACGGGCATGTCCCCACAGCTGGGAAGTACTCATAAACGTCTCCAAGAGACTCTGCGACTGCATAAAACTCAAAGGTCAGTGTAAAAATCAGCTTGTCTGCTCTAAAGAGTCTGTCATCAGATTAGCGGAAGATGACATTGGGTTCTTTCGACTCGAAGTCGCGAAATTGGAGGCATATCCAATCACCGTCGGGAAGGCTACCTATCGTGCCAAGAAGCGCAAGCCAGACAAAGCTGAAGAGAGCGTGACAGGAAAAAGATAGATTCAGATATATGAGGCGGTGTTTGTCGTTACAAGTGCCGCGTCAGCTCTGTGTGCCAGTCGTGTAGCGCCGCGCGCCCTGGACAGGAGTGCAAGTTGATGCAAATGCTTTCAAGATACCAATGGGCCAAAAACAACTAACCAGATCGCTAACAGTGCGTACCGTTGCTCGGCGTAGTTATGTTGCCCGCCTAAACCGGTCGAGCGCGGACGGTTTTCGCTCGTCCACCTGTTTTTTGGCAATCGCGATGGCCTTCTTCCGCTCTTCCCTCTGCTTCTCTAATTTTGCGCGAACAGCAACCTACAGAACTCTCCGTTAACCACTGACTAACACACACGAACCAGCAAGACCTACAGCTTTCGGATCGATGACATTCTTCCTCTGCTTGCGCAAGTACCGCTTGAGGCTCTTATTCTTTCCACGCATTTTCTTCTTCTCTTTCTCCGCCTTGGAGGGCCGGCTTGAGGCAGCCTCGTCATCGCCATCATCCGCGTTTTCATTCTCAGCGTCGCCCTCTGTCTCATCTGCTTTGCCAGAAACACGCAAACGTTCGAGACGTGGCAGTTGGGCGTAGGGCACCTCGATCTTGTCGTTGACGGCGGTTGTGAGTTTGGGTTCGGGCGCAAGTGAGCTGATAAATTCAGGGTCGAGGGTGATAGCGTCTGGTTGTATCTGCGATGCTCATGTTGCCTTCCCGCGCATTTACGACCATAGTTCGACTTGTACGCACCTTGTCGAGCAAGTTCTTCACCTCCCTTTCTCTTCTGGCCCTCTTATTCTCGAAGGGATCGGCCTCCGAACTGTCGAAATTGGGCTCACCTGAACCGGGAACTAGGATACTGGAGAGACCGGCAGAGTGTCCGATGGTGAGAATATCTTGGAAAGGGCAGAAGCGGACAGAGATAAGCGGACGATGGGGAATAGGATGTGTGAGGTATAAAGGGGGTTGCACTGAACCAGTAAAAGGAGAATGTATCGCCGGCTTCGCGTATGTCTGGAGACGGGTCTGAGCAGAAGTATATTGGAGCCTCGCGAGCTTAAACTTACATTTACGCTGCCACCGGTGGCGACCGCCAGCACGCCCTTCTGACTCCATTCAAGCTCAGCACCACCTCCTCGCGTTTTCCACTCTCTGACCGCGCCTTTCCAGTTTCGACAATCCCACACTTTCACGGTACCGTCCCGGCCAGACGTTGCCATGTATCTGCCTCCAGAGCTCGGATCCACCCCAAGCCCAGCAACTGGGCCGAGGTGGGCCAGTAGACGGACCGCAGGATGCGGCAAGTTCGGTGTCCAGAGCGTAACAGTACCATTCTGGTGACCGAGGTGAATGACGGCGTTATGCCGATTTTGGCACATAGTATTACAGGCACCCAGCTTTGTCCGATGTTCAGCGACCACCTTGCCGGTGGAGGTGTCCTGGTATTTGAGCCAACCAGCGTTTCCCTGAAAACGCACACACGTTAGCGTCTAGGCTATATCAGCACAGAGCGGTACGTACCACACTAGCGAGCAGCCAATGATAAGGCAAAAATTCGAGACGCGTCGGCTCAATGTGCGACTTGAGCCTATGGAGTTCCACACCATCGCGGTCATAGATGAAGACATATTTCTTCTGTGCGACAGCATAATGTGAATGGTCATGGAGAAACCTAAGCATATAAGAGGGATAAGCGAAAGGTATCAGGGCCATGAAATGTCCACGTACGTTATATCCCGACATGTCTCGCCAAGCTGAAGCTCAGAATGCATAGTTGCAGTCTGCCAGTCGAACGTCGCCACATGACCCTTCTTTCCGACAATAGCCATATGTCTGCACATCGGAGGCGTTGGGTGGGCAACACAAGATTATAAGACAAATTTCGCACCTTCCGTTTCTTGTGTACCGTGATAGGTACGGACCACCGTCCAACACCCACTCTTTTCTTCCCTTTGCCGCCTCCTGCCCCGCCGCTTGGACAACCTCGCTTTGACCGACCCTCCATGTCTTCTCCAGTTCTCCCTCCGCTTCGATCATCCCAGCCTCTTCTGTCAACAGCAGCTCAGCATCCTTCAGTAGCGCCTTTTGCCTTGCAGCAAGAGTGGACTGTCGTGTGAGCTGAGTACGAAGTTTCTTGTTTGCAATATGATTGTACTTCTTGACACCTTCTGGCGGAGGGGAAGTGAGACGGAGAGATGGGGGAAGGGCAGTATGTCGCGCAACAGAGTTTAAGGTCTTGTCATGACTATTCTCTGCCTGCTTTGAACCGCTTGGCTTGTGGTGGCCATCCTTGTCGATCTTCCGTCTCTTCGGCGCTGGTCGTATGGCATCCGCTTTAGCGAGGAGAGAGTCCATTGCGACAAGGCGCTGTAAATGCCTCGCTTTAGTATAAGCAATGTTTGGTAGTAAGACGCATGCTCATACCCCGCAACGAAATGACTGAGAAAGACTGTGGTCAACGGGTGAAGAAATAATAGACGCCAAATATTGATCGCAGATCGGTGATTCCATCAATCCGTGCCGAGGCGGCGGGATGGTCCCGCTTTCGTATGCTTGGCCTTGACCGCCACGTTTTGCTTCTCGCCACTCATCATGTAGGTCTTGCACCCAGAAGGCATCGACAACTTAATTCATGTTTAGGCCTCCGAAAGGGTCTGGAAAGAAGAAGTTAGCGGCGGCAGCAGAGTCTGATCCGTCCAGTCCTCCAGTACCCGTAAGCAGCTCAACTTGAGGTCCCTTGGGCAAGAACTTACCATATGCCCAGACGCTAGCGGAACAGCTGTCGTACATACACTACCCAAGACCTTTCAAGAACCCAAATTACGCGAAGAATGTCAACCGTCGAACAAAGAACCTTAAGGCTGTCCTGACGCAGGAGCGCGAACGCGAACGCGTCGAGCGGGAACGGAAACGACAAGAGCGCGAAGAGAAGATGGACATAGACGGCACAGCTGCCGGGGAAGAGCTGGAAGAAGAACTTCCTACGTGTGAGTAATATCTTTCTGCCGAGGAACAATGATTGATTCCTCGTGCTTCAAGATTCGTCAATTGAAGCGCCACCGTCTGTCTTACCGCAACGGAAGTACTGTGACATTACTGGGCTGGAGGTACGCTTTTCTGGGGAATATTTATGGTGGTTATTTAAGTACTCTCAGGGACCATACACCGACCCCGCTACCGGGTTGCGGTATCACGACAAGAGCATATATGAGATGATCAAGGGCCTGGTGCGTATTGTTATCGGAGGGCTGCAAATGCGTATATCAAGCTCATGCCCTAACAGAATGCAAGTGCTGCAAAAGACTACCTATCCGCAAGGGGTGTCAACCCTATTGTCAAGTAGGAGCGAGATGGACAGTGATTACAACCTCGGCGGCGTTGAACAGACTTGGATGTATTCTCGCTGTATGTGTGACAAATGACTTGACCCACCGATTCTACGCCTGTGCAATCCTTCGGAGTGCAATTCTTTTGGGCATTTTTAGAGTTTGACCCTGCTAATTTTAATTAGACCCGTCGCTGAGAAGGTGATTCTGTGAGCCTGATTAGAATGTAATATGGATTTAGGGGCTGATAAGAAGTCGCAAGCAAGACGCATCTACCATTGTATTCGCGCCCAATGACCTGCACCTCGCGACCCACAACAGGTCGCACTTCCCAACACTCAACGCTGTAACAACACATACGCTCCTCTCCTCAGTCTGCTATCCGTCAGCGGCATCCATATATCATGCGGAGGCTGGGTCGTAAGACCGTCTGCGCGTAGTCTCGATTGTCGCATTCGCCTGTTCGATCGTCCTTCAGTCTCGGATTGCTTACAGGTTGTGCAGACGAGCTCCGTTAAAGCTGCGCCACGAACCTAGGAACACGCAAGATATATCTATATCAATGCTATGCGATTTCATTGGACAAGGGACCGACAGATGTGGAGCTGAAGACTGTTTCTCCATGGATGAGGTGAACCATGGTAATTATAAAGCATCCAAGGTCGGCGCGTCCTCAGCCTAGACTCAAAGGTCTGGAACTTCATTTACTCTGTAACCCTGTCTGATGATCTGTTTTGAGGTCCCATTGGAGAAAGCATACGCAAGGCAGTGCCAGGATCCGTTCGAGAAGTCGCGTGCGGGCTATCCTCCCTTCGGATGCCGTGGGCCGTTCAAAGACAGGTTCGAGACGATCCTCCGCTATTCTCACGATTCTATCGGTGTTGTGCGAGTCATATTGGACACCGTAATATGACGCGGGATACGGACGAGTTCGAGAGTGGTACAGTCTTCGGATCTCGTCTCGTGGTCCCCGAGGAGACCTGCAAGCGGTCGACACGACATCTTCCTTCTCGCCATTACTGCCATTGACGGCTGCAGACATTCCATGGCCTCGCCGTGACAAGAAGGCTTGCTGACCTCGTACACGGCAGGCCCTCATGTAGCAGTAGCCCTACGGGCCTTTATAAACAAGCGGAAAAAAAAAGACCTCGTACACAGTTGTACCGGCTCACTCTTCGGGACTGATAGTATGTTAACTCTGGTAGCTCTCTTCGGCCTGTGCGCAGTGATTTCTACACGAATGGGCTCTTCGTTATGAGCTTCTCGCGTAAGCTTAGCCTATCTCTCCCCGACCAACTCCTAGAAATCTCGCCGCGTACCCTGGCGGCAGCGGTACCACGGCGTCTTGACATATCCCTTCCCTTTCTAGTTATGCCCCGCTTCCAGAAGACCCGCTCAACGATTCGGCGTTGCTGGGCAATATCGCCGAATGGTGGTCGAAGACGTGAAACGCGAGCGCTGCGTGAGTCGCCGAGCAGTAAATTTAAGCAGAGACACTTGACGAAGACAGGCAGGTGTTCTTCGGTGTATCACGCGCCAGGCGCAGAACGCTATGGGTGCGTCAGAGGCTAGGAAACGTCGTCAACGCAAAGTGAAGTGCGCAGTAATCGATATGCTTCGTCAGTACCCATCTTGAACAGAGTCGTTTAGGCTCATCAACTATTTTCAGGAGACGCCACCGGTGACCCGCTCGCTCGAATCTAGTATACAGCGCAGTGGGATTACGAAAATCAGTATTGTGCGGTTATCGAAGGCCTCCCCCAGCCACTGCAGCACTGTGTACCGTCCGAGACCCGTGGCGGAAAGAGTACGGCCTCTGCTCTCCTCAAGCGCATCAAGAAAGGCGAACTGCGTATTTTTATCCTTTCACCCGAAGCCTTCGCAAGTCGTCGAAGAGAAGCCATCGCCTCTGGGACTTACGAGCCCAAAGAGCGCAAGCCACGCCACGATGCAGGCTTTCCAAGACCTCACCTCCGCCAGATGGACCGGTTGTTTCCTCCGATGAACCCGAACACCACAGAGGAGGTTACAGAGGCGATGGAGAGTGGAACCTTTGTGTATCCTGAGCGCACTCAGCCGCATCGTATCTCGAACGTCGAAAGAAAGAAGCGCGAAGAAAGGTAGCGAGAAAGGCGCGTAAGGAACTGGGAGGGGAGAGACGCACTCCCGCAAGGTGTCAGGCGAGCTTATGGAGTGCGAAGCACTACGACTAATTTATTCACGTTCTTAATCCTGCTAATGAGGCCATCTCCTGTTGACTTACCCGGTCAGTAATCATCGCGTCGACGCTATAGCTTGTGAAAGATGAATATGATAAACTGGACGGTAATGAAGTTCGATAATGAGGTCTAGTAAGTGTACAACAATGGGACGTATACGGTAATAGTGCGCAATAAGTGAATAAGAAATAGTGAGGGGCAAGACAGCAATGTCAGACCTTGCTATGACTGCGAGTGTGCTCTTGGTGAGCACATGTTCCAACACTAGCCTGCAGGCAGAAGACGCAAACAAAGATAGTGGCGTCCGTGGACGACTTCGATTGCGGTTTTGGTGGAAGATTTTGGTGCGAGGCAGCAAGGTGTGCGGTGTCTGTAACCGTGTCCTTCGGTGGGACCGGTGGTGGCGCCTCGCTGATCGTGTTCCGCCGCCCACGAGCAGGTTTAGCGACGGCGACAAAGGACGAAGTGTTGTCGCTGAACACCCTTTTATGCGCTACACTAAGATGCGGCCCCTGCGGAGTGATTTGTGTTAGCGTTGTTGACTGTTGTGGCCTGGAACGGTCAAAGGGTTAGTGTGGCACAAATAGAGATACAACTTCAAACATACTGAGGCCCGACTGCATGCTCCTTCCATTCGCTCTTCAACGGCGAAGCCAGCCAGCATTGGTCGGCGACTTGTGTAAGACGGTCAGCCAGCGGCAGATCGTCTTCCAACGGGCCAATGTAGCTTGGCTGAACAAGACGCACTGTCCACCCTACAGCCGGAGCAGGGATGGCGGTAGCTTGTGATGACGTTATGTACCGTCCGTCAGTGGCTTCCCACACATCCTCATCGGGGGGGTAGAAGACGCGATGCGGCACCAGAGCTGCCTGCCTCATCGCAGCAGGTCTTGTCTTTCGTGCGTTGGTCGGAAGAGATTTCTGTAGGGCGCGCAGGGAGGGTAGCTCCAGCGACCTGGTCGCTTCTTCGCGGGAGGCCTCAGTTTTGACCAGCTCCTCGAGCTGCTTGCAGATGCCGATGCTCCAGTAGTCTGGGGAATCTTGCCACGCCCGTGGTCGCGGATGTAAAATAGGCATAGTACCGGGCTGTGCTAATTGTTGTGCGGCCCACTTCCAGTCTGCCTGGGCCACCATCTGTCGATGGCGAGGTTGACCCTCGGGCGCATGCGAGGTGTAGTACGACGGCAAGAGATTGGAGCTAGCAATCATGTAGGTGAACATCGTGGTTTGGGGTGAGCTTAGAGTGTTGTGGTGCGGGGAACGAGTTGTTACAGTCAGAGGACCGGCTAGGATTGAGGCCACACAGATATGGTCCTATATGTGTGCGCGGAGAATGCCGAGAAGGGCGCGACGCGTCGCGAGCACGTGCGGACGGAAGGGTGGGTGGGGACAAAGAAACGGTGAATGGGTGGATGAATTCATAGCAGTGCACATTAACGATTAAGCGGCAAAAGAAGCGTATTCGAGACCTCATGCCAGAAAATCGTTTAGACTCGCTTTGGCATGTATCGTTTAGGTGCCGCCAGAGTACGAGGAAACTTTTTTTTTCATTTCGGGGAGGTGTAGAGCAACTGGGGTTGGTTGCGCGGGGGTGACAGGTGTGAGATATTGATATCGAGAACTCAAGATGGGCCTGTTGTTTGTCCGGGGTATTGTATGCTGAGCCCAGGGTCGGTGACAAGGAACCAGGATGGCTCAACAGACCCGCCCGGGTTCATACCAGCCGATGTCCGTTCTATGCAATGCCGTCCAGCAGATACGCCACTGCAACTCCCGTGACCACCGCTCGAGCATCTTGCGGTGCTCCCGTGCGGTCCTCAGGCCGAACAGCAGCGGCAGCTTCCGCAAGGCCCCAGACGGCGCCTTTTTCTCCACTGCTTTCCCCAGGAGGGTCAGCTGCATGTTGCAAACTACGATCTGTGGCGACAAGATTCATGGGCAGGGCATCGGGACCTGGAAGAAAAGACGCGCACCACGGTCATCAACCTTCGCAGACTCTCCGTCGAGTTGATTTGGGACGCAAGGAACAAGAGCTTCTCATCCCTCTTGCTTTCGAGATCTTGCACCAGCTCTAGCAGGGCAACAAACTCCGCCTTCCACTCCCCAGCTGCATCACATTCCAGCTCGGATCGCTCCAGTGTCGCTACTGACATGCTTCGTCAGTTCAAAGCTGTCGCCGAAGACGCTGCATTCACCTTGGTCCGTCACAGACAGTAGCTGCCTTGTCATCGTCCTGCGGGCATCATTCACGGCCATCCGATAGCAGCTGATTTCAGACTGGCTGGGTGGGCCTGGGCGCCACTGGACGTTGCAAAAGTCGCTGGTGACGAGCGAGTCCTTGCCCTCTCTAAGGTCGAAGGGGAGCTCATGTGTCGGCCATGGGATCGACATGGGTGCCGATGGGAATGATTCGACTCCGGGGATGGGTAACGGCAGGGTGTATATAGAACGGCGAGGCCGAGTGGCCCGCGTCGCAGCAGCGAGGACAAAGAACTCCATAAACAAAGAACAACGTGTACCTTCCACTCAGAAGGACGCAACACGGCAGGCAACGGCCAAAATGGTTATCGTGGAAGATAAAAGACATTTCTCTGGCATTTTGTTTCGTGGGAGACGCTGTATGTAGGTGGTGACGCACACGAAATGGTGAAGTGGCAAAACTAGTGGAGGCGAAGAACAAAAGAGTTTGGAAGACTGCAGAGGCGGGCACAGATTCGTAACGGTGAGACGAAGACAAAGATACGGAGGCCGGTATAGTGCGGCGATGTTGCAGTTATACCGGAGATCAGGTGCTAGCTCGACGGCGCACAGCCGGAAAACGTGTCGCAAGTCCTTGAGGCATTGGACTTGGTGGTCGTCCTTGTCCGAAATCTTGTATCACCGCAGTGAGATACTGAACGATTTGCAGTGCTTCGTCGAAGTCGATCATATACCGTTCAACCGAATCGTCTTCCGCTGGCTCCTCCATGAGGTCCAGCTGGTGGTGCAAAAAACGAATCTACTCCAATGTGAGAGCAATTGAGGATTTCATGACGGGGTGACTTACCATCTTGACGATGTCTGCAAATGCAGGCCATTGCTCTTCAGGTTTGCTGCACCGCAGCAACCAGATGGTTAGAGTGTTGTGCGACCCGATTTCGAGGGCCATGCGAAACATCTCTTCAAAGGTGTGTACAAACAATGCACCATCTGGTACTGCGAAGCTCAAGTATCCACGGTTCTTCTTCAGCAGGTGTAGCTGTCCTGTAATTTGATGAGCAAAATGAATACCACAAATGGCGCAGCGAACGTGAATAGCACGTACTTCGCAATACCTCAACATCGGCAGCTGCCATAAGCTGCGCAATCTTCCGCGCAGAGACCTGTTCCCGGGACGTTGCGGATGTCGGGGACATGGGTATGCCACAAAAGAAAGTCTGGGCCGCGGGTACATGCAGCAGCATCGTCCTTTTAAAGATGTCGGAGCACAGCTTCTGTATGGGCCGTGGGCCTCTGCACTTCTACCTCCCGAAGAACTGTAGCAGTGACGTGCGAGGCCTGGAGGGCATGAGCGACATCCATTGTCCGTATCAGAGTCAAACGATAGGAGACGCCGGCATGTAGCATGGTATCACAGTGATTGCGGCTGTCTTGATGCTTTGTCTGTGTCGACGTATGGGCGGAAAGTGTTATCGAGATAAAGTGGACAGGCCTGAAGTGGACGCACAAAACTAACACTTGCATATGCGGGGCAGGCGCCGCGGGGCGCATCAAACGCGTCAGGCGCGTCAAAGCGATACGCGGAACCAATCAAGTTACGGCGCTAAATAATTTTGAAGTGAATTCCACCCTTACAGGTTCTCCCATTACGCTTCACTCACTTCGTGTCACAAGGTGTCAAGCAAAAAAGAGAGGACCCACAATGCCCTCTGCAGAAAAGCGCAAGCAAAAGCGCGCGGCGCTGCCCGAGCCGAAAGCCAAGAAGGCTCGTATCGACACCAGCAGCAAGCAGAAAAACGAGAAGGAGAAGGGCAAGAAGCGCAGTCGACCAGTGACGGCGCCCGTGCACGAAAAGAGTGAAGCTAGCGAGGAGGAATATGATGGTGAGGAAGTGCTGGAGGACGGGGGTGAGGAAGGGGGTGAGGATGAGGAAACGGGCGAGGGAGATGAGGAGGGTACACCGTCCAAGGTGAAAGATCCGAATGGTGGGTCTCACCAGGCTATATTTCTGACAGCGTATCTAACTAGCTTGTGATTCAGCGGCCCGTGAGTCCCACAAAGCGCAGAAGGCCCTGCTCACGCAGCGTAAAACATCGAAGCCGCACAGCGCGCTGCTCACAGAGGCGAAACGCGCCTGGTCGCTTGCACGGCAGAAGAACCTGTCTAAGGCTGAGCGCACGCAGCATATCAATGCGCTCATGGACGTTGTGCGCGGCAGGGTGAAAGACATCGTTTTCAAGCACGATGCGAGTCGCATTGTCCAGACGATCGTGAAGTACGGGAGCGCGAAGGAGCGGAATGAGATTGCGGAGGAGCTCAAGGGACGATACAAGGACTTGGCGCAAAATAAGTATTCAAAGGTGTGTTGCACACACGACGTTTAATAAAGTACGGTCTGACCACTAGTAAAGTTCCTGATCACGAAGCTCATCCGCCTCTGCCCGTCACATCGCACCTCAATCCTTCAAGAATTCCAGGGCAGCACCATGCGCCTGCTGCTCCACCGCGAAGCCTCGTCTGTATTAGCGGACGCCTTCGAGCTCTATGCCAATGCGTATGAGCGATCAATCCTTCTCAAAGATTTCTATGGCAAGGAGGCACAGCTCTTCACAGTGACTCTTGGCAGCGATGAGGAGCGCGAACGATCAAAAAAAGGGCTGAACGGTATCCTCGATGGCACGGACAAGGAGCGTCGTCGCCGTGTACTGAATGCTGTGAAGGAGAATCTCACGACAGTGTTTAACAACTCGGACAAAGGCGCGGTGTCGCATGCTACTGTACATCGTGTGCTGTGGGAGTATCTCTCTGCGATAAATGAGACTGAAAATGAGGCAGTGCGAGAAAAGGCGAGGAGAGACATGTTCGAAATGTGCGTACCTCCTTAGCTTGGGTTTGTGCACATATGCTAATCTAACTGCAGATGCCAGGACGTGCTTGCAGAGATGGTTCACACTAAGGACGGTAGCCGAGTCGTGCGCGAGTTCATTGCTCAGGGCACGGCCAAGGACAGGAAGCACATCGTCAAAGCGATCAAGCCGCACGTCGAGCGGATGTGCAAAGACGACGAGGCGCAGCTCGTACTCTTCACGGCTTTGGACGTTATTGAGTACGTCCCTGATATAATATGCTCGGAACGAAAGTTGACATTCCACTTGGCAGTGATACGAAGCTCACTGCGAAGTCGCTAGTAGCGGACATCGTCGTTTCAGCGCATTCATTATACCAATCACCACAGGGTCGCCGATCATTAATCTACCTTGTATCGCCACGAACAAGACGGCACTTTACTCCAGCTCAGGTACATTTTACAATATACAGCTCGGCCCAGAGGGACTGAAATCCTATGCAGATTACTCTTCTCGCAGAGACAGATCCCATTCGCGCACAAACAAGTAAAAAGGACGATGCTGTCCGCGCGGAAGAGGTCCGTAAATCGGCGAGTGAGCCATTGCTTGCCTGGATGGCAGAGAAGGGCGCCGAGGTTGTGCGAGATCCGGGGGGAAGCCTTGTCGTGGGCGAAATAATGCTGTATGCCGATGGCGACAAGTCACCCGCGTCCGAGACGCTCCTCCAGGCCTTGTCATCACCGTACCCCTCGCCTGACCCTGCAACCCCACATCTGATCTCGCTGCCATACTCATCACGACTGTACAAAACGCTTCTGCAGGGTGGACCCTTCAGCCACCAGACGAACACTGTCGCGCGATCACCGCTGTGGGATCCGCTAGCGTTCGCGCGTTCGTTCGTGCGGATCGTGGGCAAGGAGAACACGCTCGCGATGGCGAAGGACGACGGCACGTTTGTCGTTACAGTGCTGTGCGAACGCGCGAAGGAGGATGAGGCGCTGCGGAAGGACGTGAAGGGCTGGTTCAGCGGTGCAGTGAAGGAGCTCGAGAAGGGGGAGGGAGGGAGAGGGAGGGGCGTGCTCCTTGAGCAGATTGCTGCATTATAAGAGAGGCTGAATTTCCGTCTAGTTTCTAACTCGTTGTTTATATCTCTTGGGATACATGCTTTGCTGGGTATCACGCGCCCACGTGGGGAAGGCCGTGAGAACAGACGCGACGCGAAGCGCGCCTCATTAGATTGGGATTTTTCCACAGCCTGCTGTCTTCCTCGTGACCCCCTTGGATCCTTTCCCACAAGCGTGTTTGCAGCCGTTCGCAGATACTAGTCGTATTCGACGCGCTTTACTCTCGCGAAGATCGCACAATCCTGCTCTCAGACGTCGAACGAGAGGCGAACAGAAGGTCACGAAAATTCTCCAAGTACAGGGTATAGACACAAACACTTTCTTTGTCTATGTCTCTATCACGCTGCCAAGCTTTCATAACCTCGTATCTTGCCTTTTCACTTCTAGGCATCGCACTCTGTCAGAGTTCACGGCCTCATGTTCATTGGTCGCAGCAGACAACAGCTCACGCCATCCGGCGAACCTTCGAAACGCCTTCGGCTACTAAGTACAGCCGGCTTTGCTAACAGCTTCTCCGGCACCATGTCCTTCCTATCCCCGCCCCCGACACCCCCATGGCTTGTGGAAGCTCAGCGTGCATGCCAACTCATCCGGCAGGAGTACCTCTCGGAGAAGAAGCGACGGCGGCATTTGAAGACCATCCTCGATTTTGTTGACAGCTATATCCACTGGGTGCTCACGTCGCACTCTGGCGTGGGCCCGCTCGGGCCTGTGCTCGAGTGCGCGCTGGACTATGGGAACGAGGGCGACAGGATGGACCTTGTGCAGCACTTGAAGGGGTGGTATGCAACTTTGGCACAGCGAAGAGAACACAAGGTGAGCGTGTGCGTTGCGTCTCGCCTCTTTACGCCATCCAACATACCCAGATGCTCGTCATGAAGATTCTACACCTCTGCCCGCCTGCGCGGCCGCTCATCTTCCGGGAGCTTCAGCGGTATGGTGTCGTGCCGCTCTTGCTGAACTACGAGGCCATGAGCGTACTGCTCTCTACGTTCGATAACCATGCGAACGAGGAGGAGCGCGCCATCCTCGTATGCGGCATGTACGGGCGCGTAGCATGTGCGGCTGCCGACCTTGTGGATGTGCAGAGAGGCGAAGGGAGCGAGAAGGCGCATATACGGGGCCTGAGTCAGATCATGCAAGAGTGTTATCATCCAGGGAAGGTGTATTTGATCCTCGGAGCCGCAAGGAGCAATCTGCTTACAATGTACGTACATATACTACATTCAGTCTGCATGCACTGACTACATTCGCAGTTTCTGCAATCCGAATCCGACTGTTCCATCCTCCGCTATGTTCCACCGTGCATTACTCGAATACCTCCAGGCTCTTGATACACTCCCAAACAAACAAGTGGCGGAAACGTTTCGCAGAGACATCGTGCAAAAGTATATATCGCAAATGTCTCAGTATCTCAGCTGATGCAGGCACAGATGTTTGCAACACATGGAGTTTCTGACCTTCTCACCAGAGGGATCCCGTGTCGTCGGAGAGATCAACGCCATTGTGCAACGGAGTACAGATATAGGTACGTTCCTCGTCCGAATATTCGCTGCATATGACTCAGTCTCTCATCTGCATGCAGTTCCGCTTCCTATAGGCATTGTGCCCCCCACACCATATGCGATGCCGGGTCTATCGCAATAGTTGCAGCGTCTTGATACCATCATGGTGCCTCTGGACAAAACCTATGCGGGGTTACTAGTTCCGTTGTGTATTTCTAGTAATGACAACGTTTTATATGCACGCATTTAGGGGGCATACTCGAAGCTGTGGCTAAACGCTGTTCGATGGTTAAGATTTTACTTGCGGCGGAGTTGAGGGACAGGAATGGTCGAGTAAGCGCCACCTTTGTGGCGCATAGCTCGGCGCCTTCGCGTTTGCCTTTCGTTCATCGTCGATGCTTTGCGTCCTGCAACGCGTGTATTCTGTAATTTGGTACCCTCTCTTTGCGTCATTATTCACAGACGCGTTCTGGACGCACTATGGGCTGCTGGTATACAAACGTCTGAGTCGTGCAGTCCTCAGGCTAGCGAAAGAATGAGATGTGTGTGCACATATACATCTGACAGACAGCGGAAGTGCGCGAGGACGAACATGTGGTCCTGAGAATGAAGCTGGGCTCAACGCGTAGCGTGCGTCTCCGTGTAGGCGCATCTGATGCGCCCTTCCTGAAGCGGTAGACTTCGGTCCTCGTGGCGCCCAGGCCTTCCCGCTCTTCAACCTGGCACTGACGTCGGCAGATCGGTGCTCGACGAGGTGGCCATTAGATAGGTTAGTCAAAAGCTCTAAGAACAACGATTATAGACAGCTGATGCGAAAAAGAGGCGCCAATGCTAGGAAACTGTTGTGTGATGTGGCAACCTTGAGCTTTGCAGCAAGATGACTTGTAAGCTGTGTGCCATGCCTGCATGTCCTGACATAGCATTTCGAGATGCACGAATGCCAATACCGACATTATATTATGTTATACCACCGCAAAGTAGCCTAAGCAGCTCTCAGGGTTTCCTCAATAGCGTCGTGGGAGTGACCAGCCCCGTGCCTACGCCGCTGACGAGCGTGCATGGGAACAGCGTTCCAGTATGGGATTTCAGTATTGGCTCTGCTTCCGTGACATATGGTGGCAGTCATATATAGTGAGTCGCTGGGTTCTGCATCAGACTCTCAAAGTGCACCTCTTGCACTCGCAGCTGTTCACGCGACATGCTCAAGATAGTTGCTGCGCTCATCACCGCAGCGGTTGTCGCCCGTGCTGGCCCGACTGCTAGTGCCCATGCAGAGCCCAATCCGTCCTTGGCATTCCCGGTACAGGTCAATGGCCAGACCTTCGTGAATAAAGTGCGTTTCACTGTGATTACGAACTGCCACATTATTGATTGGCAGGGGTAGGGTCTCGTCGCCTTCGGATTTATTCCTTCGAACTTCAGGGATTCTACAGGTTTATTCCAACAAGGAAAAGTATAATGCGTGCGCTCAGCATTCTTATTGTCTTAGGTGACACCATGGGTGGTATCGGTAGTGCCATTGCTCTCAAGCCCGGGGCATTCAAATTAAACATGGATGGCTCTTTCTCAGGTTTGTCGCAGTGCATGTTCTGTCTGTGACCATGAGAATGAACACATTGCAGGTACAATCATTGCTCAGCCTGACCGCGGATTTAATCTGTGCGTATGAAAGTTCTGGTAATATTGAAGCTCAGAATAATGTTTGGCAGGGTGACCACTATCAACTATCAGGGCCGCCAGCAAGAGATCGATTTTGTCTTGAAGCCATACTATGGCACTGCGAACCTTTCGTTCAACGATAGCCAAACGTCTTTGAGCCTGGCATACGTAAAGACGCTGCTGTATAAGGATCGCCTCGGCGTGAAGACTAGCGGCCTCGATGCGCTCGGAGTGCGCCCTACTGAACTTGGCTTCCCTCTACTGGCCATCGCAGACCCTGTGATGCCCATCCCAAACAGCAGCTTCAACCATCTCACAATGGACAACGAAGGTCTTGTCCTCAACGACGATGGGTCGTGCGTGCTTGCCCCAATTCTTACCATGGATCCCAGCGCTCAGAGGCTCTTGCAGGTTCTGGGTCGGCGACGAATATGGCCCCTACGTGTATCGGTTTGACAGCCTTGGGAATCTGATCCAGACCATTCAACCGCCCCCCGCGATTGTCCCGCAGATCGGAGGGAAGACCAACTTTACTTCTGTAAGCGGACCTGATACTGGGCGTGTTGGGAACCAGGGTGCACCGAATCATTGCCTGGAATTGAATCCGGCCGCTGATACTTTTCACAGGCTTTGAGTGTCTGACCGTGGACGTCTCCAAGAACATTCTTTGGGCAATGCTTCAGTCCGCGACCGTCCAGGATGGTGGCGAGGGCAAGTCTACGTCGCGCTTCACCCGCTTGTTGGCGTACGATATCACGGCTCCCCTCATCAAGCGGCCAAATCTCATCGCGGAGTACGTCGTACCGCTACCGTTGAACGATAAGGGCAACACACTGGCTGCGAGCGAGATCCATTTCGTCAGTGAGGGCATATTCTTGGTCCTGTCGAGGGACGGGAATGGCCATGGCAATAGCAACCCGACATCAAAATACAAGTGAGTCGTCTGTTAGCTGTTTTGCAAGGTATAAAGACTATCTGAATCTGTCTGAAAACAGGCAGATCGACCTGATCTCCATTGGTGATGCCACCGACGTCCATGACACCAAATTTGACACTCCTCAGATGCCTATTGCTGTCAATGGGACACTGGACAGCAGCATCGAGCCCGTAACATACATCCCATTCCTCGATATGATCAACGCGACGCAGCTGTCGCGTTTTGGTCTGCATAATGGTATGTGCAGTACATCAGCTTGTTAATGAAAGCGACTAATAGTAGTGCAGGAGACCCAGTGGACCAAACGTTGATTGATGCCAAGTGGGAGAGCATTGCGCTCGCATCAGTTGGAGACCCTACGTTTCCGCACGATTTCTTCGTCTTCACGGCAGTAAGCACCAGCTGTTTAGCTGGGTTCACAAGCCTCCCAATTCGGATGCTAATCACGTTACCTCTAGGCCGACAACGACTTCATTACAGAGGATGGTGTATCCTTGGGCGTGCCATATAATGCTAGTCTGAACAACGACAACCAGTTCATGGTGTGGCGGGTGACACTGCCAACAGCCGCCGGGACCTCTTGAAGAGAAATGTATCTGCTACGGGTTGGCCTCCAATGCAGATTCATAAACTGCAGTTGTCATGGACGAATAATAGGCGTGCTATACTGTAAGCGACGTGCTTGACGCCATCCTATTCACTTCAGACAGAATCCCTCACGGTGGTCGCAAGACACGCACGTTCGCTAGGTGAGCCCCTGTAGGTCCACGCCCGGATCAGGACGAAGCAAGTGGAAGGGGTGCCGAAAACCCAGCATTGGCCAATTCTCCACTTATTGGCGTGCTCTTCCTTCAATCCATATGGTCCCCTTCGGCTAGGCCGCGTTCCGATCCCACTGGCTTGTCGAGTGTCGCAGAAGAACCGATCGCCGCATTGCCCACGTTTCCAATCACACTGGTGTTGACAGGAGCCACATGCTTTACGGCACGTCTTCGCAGCTGTGCGCATGCGAAGGGAGGCAAGTCGATTTAAATTCTCTGCCGTGGGTGTGTAGTCGCCAATTTTCCCGGCGACTGCACATGGAGAGGCGGCATACATCAGCCAGAGGTTACGCCTTCGCATCCCAATACGACAAGCGACCTGTCACGAACGTGTTCTTTTCTTCCGTTGGGAATCATTCGCTTCGTGTGGTCTTGCATATAAAGGTGAACTCATGGACCACTCTAGCAGCGCGCCCACTATGGCTCGTCTTTTCGCATTGCTTCTACTCTTCGTTCAGGCCTCAGTGGTCCTCGCCAGTCCTCTGGCGACGCGCGCGTCGGAACCCGACCCGTCTTTGGCGACGTCCGTCACCGTTGCAGGACAGACTTTCATTAACAAGGTTCGTCGTGCTGTCACGTATGTTTTACTGCATACTCGGGCTAAGCTCGGGCATTAAGGGTCTGGTTGGCTTCGGACTGATTCCTTCAAACTTTACCGAATCCACAGGTAAATCTGCCCGCCTAAACTCCGTACCACTGATACTGATATGGTTACATGTAGGTGACACGCTTGGCGGTATTGGAAGTGCGATCGCCTTGAAGCTGGGCTCCTTTTCTCAGCAGGCTGACGGTACCTTCACTGGTACTATCGTTGTTCAGCCTGACCGCGGTTTCAATGTGTCAGTTCCACGCCTACCTGATTTGACCCGGACTCATCGTGTCTTTTAGCGACGGCACCGTTGATTACCAAGGCCGTCAACACCAGATCGACTTCGTCCTGAGTCCGTACTACGACACATCGGACCTTAGCTTCACACAGGCGCAGCAGACACTCCAGCTTACCTACCGCAGCACCCTCCTGTATACTGAACGCGCGCATGGTGTGACTACTGGACTCGATGCTGGCGGTGTCCGTCCCGCCCAATCTGACTTTCCGGATGACCCCCTCGCTGACCCTGAAATGCCCATCCCGTCCAAGAGTGATGACCGTTTGACCTTGGATTTGGAGGGTCTTGCCCTCAACGCCGACGGAACGTAGGTTGGCGTATACGAGGGAATACCTTGACATGAGTTGAACAATTTCTGTAGATTTTGGGTCAGCGACGAGTACGGTCCGTACGTTTATCGCTTCGACTCCAACGCCGATCTGCTCCAGACCATCCAACCTCCGGACGCTATCGTGCCTCTGTCCGGTGGCGATGTGGACTTCACTGGCGAGAACGATCCCGATACCGGCCGTGCCGCAAACAAAGGTCAGTGTCTCCCTGTTCTGACTTCGGCACCGCTCATGCTAGGGGCTGCACAGGTTTCGAGTGCTTGACCGTCGATACCTCAACGAACACTCTCTGGGTAATGCTCCAGACTGCAACCATCCAAGACGGAGGCAATAAAAAGTCTCACGCCCGGTACACCCGCCTCCTCGCTTACGACATCTCTTCGCCCAACACCGACCGCCCTGTACTCACAGCCGAGTACATCGTCCCTCTGCCGCTCGATAGCGGCGGCGATACGCTCGGTGCGAGCGAGATCTCGTTCGTGAGCGAGAACATCTTCCTCGTCCTCTCTCGCGACAGCAACGGCCACGGCGGAGACAGCACCGAGTCTGAGTATAAGTAAGTGAGGATTGCTTGGCCAGACGAGATGCTAGGGAAGCTGATGCGGTGACCTGCAAGGGGTATTGACCTCATCGATATCAGCGCTGCGACCAACATCGCGGGCTCAGAGTTCGACAGCCACAAGAACGCCGTCGCGCCCAAGGGCAAGCTCGATAGCAGCGTCACGCCTGCGACGTACACGCCCTTTGTCAGCCTCATAAATTCCACGGAGCTTGCTCGCTTCGGTCTGCACAACGGCGCGTTCCGCTCGCTTAACTCGTTGTGCTTGTTCTGACGCTGTTGGGAATAGGCGACCCCTCTGACGCAACGCTGATCGACGCAAAGTGGGAGAGCATTGCACTTACGCCTGTCGGCGACAGCCAATTCCCCAACGACTTCTTCCTGTTCACTGCTGTGAGTTGGTTCCGCTTTATACGGGGTCCACCATAGGGGCTGAGACGTGAATAGGCCGACAATGACTTCTTGACGACCGACGGTGTCTCGCTCGGTCGGCCGTACAACGCCGGAGTCGACGTTGATAACCAGTTCTTCGTTTTCCGCGTCACTCTTCCTACGAAGAGCAGCTGAAAGGCGCGAGTAATGTTCTGACCATACTTTCAAGCCGATGTACAGCTGAATGACGCGGGAACACAACTTGGCTGACAAGATGCCATCTAATTGGCACTATTAAGGGTATCATAGCTCCGGAAGTGGCCAGCCAATTGAGCAGGAGGCAGTGGCCCATCGTCCTAAGGCCTAGGAAAATGATAGGGCGACATAGTAACATGGCATACCAACATTAGGTGCACATACACACTTCCGGTCATAGACGAGCGAGGTCTACTCGCCGAGGATGACCTTCAGCCGGCCATCACTAGAAGAAGCTAGCATGAGTTGTGATGAGCGAAGACAGCAGAAACAGCACTATTGAGTTCACCAGTGGCTGCCTATTTGCTATCTTGACTCGCAACTTCAGAGTCACGGTTCTGGGCTTGTGGCGTCGCCTTCGCTTTGGGCACCTCCTGAGGAGGCTCGGTGTGGGTGACTTTGGAGTCATCCAGGGAATTTGGTGTAAAAATCACGAATCGCAAAGAGTTGATCTACGCTGAAATTGCGAGCCTCTGGCTAGCGGGCGACTTCGAATTCGGGAAGGAGAGAGCAGCGGCGCTTAGTACTTCGCGTAGCACTTCGTCACTAACCATCACCATCCCTTGACTCATGAACAGTGCTTCCGTCTGGCTACCTCTTCTGGGCCCAAGAAGACAGCACAGCCTGTGCTGAACCCTTGGCCATATTATTACGTCTCCCATTTTTGCGCAGCATGCAGGGCTGCAGCTGGCAGCTCTCCACTCAGGCTGAAAATTGAAACGAAGCACGTAGACGGCCTTTGATCTTGTAGATTCTCCGGATCCACTGGGAATATCACTTACCTGGCTTGGTATAATGATAGCACTGCCTATTATCGGGAGAAAACAAAAGACTCTACGGTGGCGCAGTCGCGGAGGACAGCCTCTGCCGAGACAGGGCAAATGCACGCTCTTGCAAATTGGTCTTGTCTAGTCTTGCGGACCGTTTGTATAATTTCGAGCTGGTCGCTTCCCTGAGACCCGGAGGGCCAACCTTTGCGCTGCCGCCGTCGAAGCCCGTCGCATCCTGAAATGCTCCACAGGGCCACATCCTGTCTTCACCGTCGCGGGAGCACCTTCTGCGTTAGTCCATGTATGCTATTAGTTGGCGTGTTTAACTATTTCCTAGAGACGATCTCCGTATCTCCGCGGTTATGGAATCAATAAAATCGGAACACTCCTCCATCCGCTTGGTCCGGCTGGATTTGTACCTAGAAGTCATGGGACTTGCTTGCCATGCCAATCTTCAAATGGCTAGAACATCTCCCACCGTGTCCTGCTGCATCTGCCATACGAGCAATGGAACAGCTCTTAACGGTCCTCTCGTTGCACCGGCCTTCCCTCCATCAGTCGCCGATGCACAGCGTGTCTTGCCGCCAACAAACGTGCTTATCGCATTCATTGGCGACTGACGGGAGGGGTACTTAAGCGGCCAGACAACCAACTCTAGGATCCTACAGCTCTGCTGACTTTACACCCTTTCGCCCGCACTTCGCACTTCGCTCTCGTCCACTACCGCTCCTCGCTACACCATGTCCAATTACGGCAGCGATAACTACGGGTCAAACAACGACTCGTACGGATCAGGCGGTGGCAATTCGAACGGGTCCGGCAACAGCGACTCCTATGGTGGTCGTGACCGCTCGTCGAACAATGATACGTATGGGTCAGGCAACAATGACTCGTACGGGTCGGGTAACAATGATTCGTACGGTTCGAACAACAACGATAACTCCGGCGGTCGTCGCGACCGCTCGTCGAACGACGATTCGTACGGGTCGGGTAATAATCAGTCATATGGTTCCTCGAACCAGGATGGCTCGTACGGCTCGAACAATGGGAACAACCAGTCCCTCAGCTCGAACAATGACTCGTATGGTTCGGGAAATAACGACTCGTACGGCTCGGGGAACTCTTACGGCTCGGGAAATAATGACTCTTACGGCTCGGGAGGCAACCAAAGCCACGGCTCGTCGAACAACTCCTTCAACCGCAGCGCCGATAACGACAGCTCCGCATCCTTTGGAAGTGGCGGCAATTCCGGCACCGGTATTGGTGGACCTAACCAAGGTGCTGGATCGACCGGTGGAGGAGACTGGGTTGACAAGAGCGTCTCGTATGCGGCCCAGAAGGCCGGCGTCAACTTGGTGAGATGATGATGAGCGTCGTCCCTGCTCTCGCGCGGTGCTCACCGTCTGTCTTCTCAGGACTCGCAGACTGCCTCGAAGATCGGCGACGAGATCCAGCAGGGCCTCGGCAGGTTCACCGGTATGCTTACCTCTAATTCGCTTACTTTGTGGAGTTCTCAAAGGATACATGAATCCAGGTCGCGATTGATTTGGCCTCCTGTATGTTTTTGTATCACGAGCTGGGAGGTTATATGGTGGCATTAGGACATGGGTCGTGTTGAAGAGTCAAGTATGAAATGTATTCACTATGGAAAGAAAGGAGGAATAAGGGAATGTCACTGAACGTCTCGCATCGAAAATGTGTCTAGCTTGTTGTGATTCTCTGAGAGCTCTGGCGGGCACACCGCCCAATGGCTGAAGAGGAGTGACTATGTGTCACGCGATGTGTAACGCGTCGATGCGTAGCGTAACGCGGCTCATTGTCACTCCCCAGCGTCGTGCCTCCAACACTTCATCCTCCCGACGTCAACATGCCATCGCAGCCGTCAAGCTCGCAAAATAAAGCGAAATATGCGCTGAAGCCTTCGCGCGTGAGTACGCTGAGGATAGAGTCGATGGGCCCGCCTGTGAAGAAACAAAAATTGAAGCCCTTGTCTGCTGTGAGTCTCGCTTACGCAGCGGACATTGCGAGAGGACGACGTTGATTGAGGGCAGTGCGCAGCTAATGATGCCACCCGCACCCGTGTATGAGCCTGTGAACAACCAAACAAGCGCGAAATCACTTCTACAGAGCCAGGGCTCGAAGAAAGGCAAGGAGAAGGCGACTGAGGTTACTGTGCTCGACAGTGATGAAGAGAAGGACGCGAAGCTGGAGCCGAAACTAGACGATAGGCTGTGGATTGACATGTACGAGCCAAAGACGGAGGTGTGCGGAACAGGTTCCATCTTCTTTCCTTGGTTGACGCCACGAGTTCAGGCAGAGCTTGCCGTGCATGTTCGTAAAGTCCGGGACGTACGTCATTGGATTACGGAGGCTTTCGAGTCAGATAAACTTCGCAAATATCGGGTACGCTCTCATCCCTCCCATGACCATAGAAGCCCATCTTAATATTATCCATAGCGAATTCTGGCCCTGACCGGCCCAGCAGGTACGGCGAAGACTGCGACTATACGCGTTCTTTCGCGTGAGATGGGATTTGATGTACTCGAGTGGCGGAACAGCATGGACGAAGTATATACTCAGTCAGATGACTTCGGTGCGTATACATTCATTGCTCGGCATATTACTTGTAAATTAATTTTGTGTCTAGATCCAGACTATGACACAGAGTATGAAGGCCTCTCTGAGAAGTTCCACAAGTTCCTTACTCGCGCCATACAGTGTCCGCCACTATTTTCACCCCAATCTGTATCTGCTGCCTCTACATCCCATTCGCCGACCACCAAGTTTGCAAAGTCAAGGAAACAAGTTATTCTTCTAGAAGATCTTCCGAACGTCCTACATCCTGGCACCCAGCGTTCGTTTCATGCGTCGCTTGAATCGCTCGTGTCTTCATCTCCTTCGGCGAACAACATCCCTATCATCGTTATCCTCAGCTCTGCGGGTGTACGAGGCGAAAACCCGGAAGATGATGGTGGCAGAAGCTGGCGGGCTAAGGACTCGGTCGATATTCGAATGGTCATACCTTCTACATTATGGGGAGGACCCTATGTCACACATATCTCGTATGTCGTCCCCGGACTAATTATGCATGCTTCACCTATTAACCATGTATTCTCTTGTTAACACATCCAGCTTCAATCCTATTGCTCCTACCCTCATGCGCCGGGGTCTGCAATCTCTACTTACCACCTACTTCGCATCCCAAGAGTCGAAGACGTCTTCAAAGCCAAAAAGCAAAGCACCAGCGGGTCCGGTGGCCAAGGAGATTCTCGACCTCGTCATTGAAACCTCAAACGGTGACATACGGAGTGCGGTCATGACATTGCAGTTCGCATGCACATCGCCTTCTCTCGCATCGTCCTCACTAAGCAAAAAAGGAGCAAGGAAAGGCGGTAATACCAGAGCATTGCTTGAGGCCGTCACCCGAAGAGAACAGAGCCTTGCGCTCTTTCACCTGATAGGAAAGATCTTGTATAACAAGCGTGCGTCTACGGCATGCCTACTTGATATAGCTTTTAGCAACGCTGATCGTGGTGGCGGTTTGTGCAGGCAAAGGTGACACTCCGCCAGCGAGTATGTCGAAAGCCGACGTGGAGAGGGAACGCACTTTGGATCGGACGTTAAAGGACCCTCCTCCTTTGCCGAATCATCTGTGCGAACATGAGAGGAAGGCAAGTCGAGTTGACGTTGAGGTACGCTTCCCTTGCTACTCTTTCGCATCGCCACTCCCGCCTGTTATTCATACCGCACTAGATGCTCTACGCAGATACACCAATAGACAGCTCTCTACTCTCGTTATACATCCACCAGAACTATACTCAATACTGCAGCACGCTTGACGAGTGTGCTAGTGTTGCAGAATGGTTGAGCATTGTCGATGCAAGCGGAGGCGAATCGGTGAAGGCTGATTTGTCGTTCGGTATGGGGCAATATTTTGGCTAACGCGGCATACCATAACCAGATTGTGAACACTAATCCGACGCGCTTCCACCTGATTGCGCTTGGTACGATGCACTCGCTGCCTACTCCTGTTCCGCGCAAGGGGCAGCGCAACTACAAGCCCGAGTTCTTTGACTTCCTCCGCAAGCAGAGGGAAGCCGAGGAGAGCGTCTCTGGGACGCTTGGTTGGCTCCGTCAGGTACGTTCTTACTCTACAAAGCTGAACCAGTTCTGATCAAAATTTAGACGGAGACATGGACAGGCGGGTGGACGACACGAGACGTCTCGCTAGAGCTTCCTTCGCTCCTGAAAGCCATAGACCTCCGCCAGTCCTGGTCACCTAGGCCTACCAAGGACATCCCACCTGCATATCACAAATCTTTCTCGAGCCTGCATTTCGTGGGGAACTCAGGTAGCGCGGCGCAGGTCGCTGACGAGGAGTTCGACTCTGCGGCACCAGCTGAAGAATCGGAGGAGGGGGCAAGATCGCCCAAGGATGTGGAAGACGCCCTTGAGGGTGTGAAGAAGAGTGTTGCAGGAGGGTGGTTAGAGGAAGACGACATAGAGGATATCTGATGTGCGTATCTATGTGCTATCATCTGCTTGTGCTTTATTTCATCCCCTTGGAGTGTATTTGCATTATCTCTGCGAATGCTAAACTCGCTGCTTACAAAAGCAAGTATCAGGATTTCGAAGTCCACTGCTTTTCTTGCGGACTAGCTCGAGGCCTTCGGCGGCACAAACTTCAGTAATACTTATGGAGCATATCGCTGTCCTTCCACAACGCTGAACATAATTTTCTGGGAACTTATCGAAGCCTTGACCTAGGACAGCGCTGCAAAATATTCGAGTCGTGCACTACTAGTTCCGAGCTCTATTCGCCACTTGCAGATTTTTTTTCCAGTCATGCTTACATCTTGCGATCCTCTTATCAGACTCAGCGGATATGTATGCTTTCCCTACTTGCGTGAGAGAGGCTTGGACGAAGATGGTTTGTCTTGTCCCTATTTGCTGCCAGCTGATCTACTTTCGCTTTAACATCCTCTTCTCGCACTCGCTGCAACCTTGTCATGCCCTTATGCGTGTTCATCTCGTCAATTGCAAACCTCACAGCCACTCGATGTGGGGAATGGCAATACAGATACTTCCATCCCGTTCACAGAGCTTATCACTCCTTCCCCGCAGGATAACCTCAGAGAAGAATGGTCCCATCCGACCTAAAGCTTGGACGAGTGCAGGCGCCTGATGGTATGGATGCATGCTTCCGTATTGCTTCTGCAGACTAATATACGCTTTATGTTCGTCGAGGATGCTGTAAAAAGCCTTTCTGTCACTTACGCGAGAAGGCGCGTCTTGTGCAATCTGGTATACTGTGTTACGCTCTCTGAGACCACATGCTCTAGATCCTCTTGCAATCGCACTTACTGGCTCAGACATGTCTCTTCTCCCTGACCTGATCAAAGCCGTGAATAGCGGTCTTGTGCTCTTCCCAGGGATGGGCGATGCGTACGCTGCGCGGGACGAGAACGGAGTGCTTGTTGGCTTTCTCGTATCCTCTTTGCCTGGCCAGCTCCTTTTTGCAACGTGAGTCGTGCTGCCCTCAGTTCCTGATACAATCTGATTCATATTCCTCTGAGCAGAGAGGGGTCCAGAGCCTATGGGTTCTCAGACTATGCTGCACGACTCTCTAGCGATGCGCGAGAGTACTTTTTGGAAATGGTACGTCTCCTCACACCGTAGATGTGCGAATATCTCAAATGTGCAATCGCAGATACCTAAAATGTCTCCTGAGACCAACGAAGAGTCTCAGGTAACGCTTGCGTATATCAGCGTCGAACTGGCCCGCTGATAAGTCAACGGGCAACTCTAGCTTGAACTTACCTCATACTGGTGCAACTTCGCTTTCATTCGTGCTGAGTATCAACATAAGGGCCTCGGGAGAGCGCTGTTGAATCTGAGTTTTGAGAGGGCAAGTACCATGCATCGCTTGTCTCTGCTTGCCGCTGAATACTATTCCAGGCCCGTGAACTCGGTGCCAAGGAAATAGCGCTGATAGCTGTGGACCCCAAAAACGTACGCATCTGTTCAGTATCAGTGACGATTACTTGAACATTGACCAGCTGCCTATTTACAAGGCAATGGGGTTTGACCTCGTCGAACACAAGCTGGTCAAGGTCCCCGTGGAACAAATACAACCTCTGGTTCTTTGTGAAGAAGACGGAGAAGGCATAAGAACCTTGTGCCGCCCTGGTTGGATATGAAATTATGCACTGTGATTGTGTATCTGGTGGTACATGAGCTCGGTGGACGGCGGCTATGTGACTTCTGCTGCAATTCTATCTAAAGCCTATCTGCTACCCACACTGCCCAACTCCGTACCGCCTCTCAAGGTCACGCGGCTGCGTTGAGTTCTCAGGAACCCAAAAAACGTACATTCGCGGATTGAACATCTAGGCTACTCTAAAGTTCAACCCGTTTCCTTCCTTGCAACTGCCAATTATGTTGTACCGATGGCCTCTCACGCAAGTCAGGTGTATGTATCGTTACCGGTGCCGGGTCTGATATTAAGGCACCCCCAGGTTTTCAGTCAGGAGTCGCCGCCTCAATGGCCCCAGCGAACCTGAAGCTCGAGCGCGTCGTCCAGCCCGATGATAAGCTACTGAGCTATCGCTACTCCTCCGGCTCTAACGCTTATGTCTCATCAACCAGAAACATTTGTAGAGGACGCTGTCCAAGTCTTCTGTTCTGTCATACGGAATGGTGAGGAGTGGGCGGCGAGTCGCTGCTTGGCCTAACGCATATCGTTGGGTAGACCCAATGGGGATTGCGCTCACAGGGAAAGACCCCAATCTATTGCCAATGTTATGCAAAGTTATGGTCGGCGGTCTCGTCCTGGCCCCCGGCGTTGGTGAGGCGTACTCTGCACGAGACGAGAACGGTTTGCTAGTCGGCTTCCTCGTCTTTTCGCTACCTGGCCAGCTGCTGTTTCTGTCGTACGTCGCATGTACCTGCATGAAGATTTATATTCATTGGTATGCATCTTATAGAGAGAAATCTAGGGCTCAGGGTTATTACGACTATGTCAACATGCTTGCGCCAGAAGCAAAGGAGTTTCTTTGAAGGTCCCCTACATTCTGCCACGCTCCCAGGTAGCTGACTACGCGCACAGGCTACTACAATCTCTCCTGTACTAGATGAAGAGTTAGAAGTGAGCTTCCCACCCTTTTAGTCTGCTCGGCGGAGTTCTCAGTGCTAATCAGGGCTCAACAGCTGGAGCGGCAGTCCTATCGTTGCCACCTAGCATTTATTCGCGCAGAGTATCAGGGCAAAGGCGTCGCAAGAGGAATGTTTAACTTGAGTTTCAGAAGGGTCCGCATGCATTCACTGTGGAAAGGTAGCTCTGGTGCTAATTAGGGTCCTACAGGTGGTGGCGGAGTTGAGAACACCCAAACTTACACTAATCACCATAAATCCAGCGAACGTGAGTCGATACTTGCATGTTTTAATTAAACCACGCCTTGATTCTGGATAGCTCCCCATCTACAAAGCCCTCGGCTTCACGCTTACAGGGAAAAAGTACATCAAGTCTCCGTGGAACGAATGGGAAAGATGGTTCTTTGTGAAAGATGGGGAGTCTACGTTAAACCGCCCAAAATTGTGAGCTGGTGTTTGTGGAACAGAATAACGAGGTTCGCCGCATGAGACCTTGACACTGAAGAGAGCGTCGCCATCATATTTTATGCCTTCTGCGTGCTGTCCAGAGCGGCGCGTCTAGTATCATCTATCATGCCGAAAGCGCTTGTGCTCGGTCCACTTGACGCATCATCTAGTCACTTCTTCACACATATAACACCGTTCAGAAAGCGTCTCTGGAAGTAGATAGCGAGAGATACAGAAATCGGGTACTGACGGAAGCGCCCGACTGACGCCACAAAGCAGGCGGCTGTTTTGGGCGTTTGCACCATGCTCCCTACTCCGCACTCTGCAAACGCCATTTGTGTGCGTATGATCTTCATGATAGAGATGTCATTTTTGATGAACACGCTGTTGTGAGGTCGAAATGCTACTGGCTGCTCACACAGACGGTGAGGCCAGTACTTATCCGGTTGCTTTCAAGCTGTCTGCCGAGGCCCGAGAGAACTAGGTCACAGCGCGTATCTATCATCCATGCATCAATACGCGTCATTTTCATAAGAATGTATCGTTTTTAGTATGTCTGCACTCCTGTACATAGTTCTACCGACCGCTCAAAAATCAAGAATTCGGGGTCGGGGTGACACGCAGCTCCGCCGCTGATACTGAACCTGAAGGCTTCAGTGCTCGTGGTCACAGCAAGCCGACGCGAACAAAGACACGATGGTTTTCTTTTACGCACAAGTGCTACAAGGTCGGCCCCTCTACAATCCAAAACTTCTTCCCCGTCCAAGTCGAGCTTCCCCGCGTCGAACTGTCTCCTAACCACAGGTACATCCGCCCCGTCGATCTTCGACCCGTTCAAGCTCCATGAACTGCCTCGTTGCATTCACCAAATTAATCTTCGCAGTCGAGGCTCTCATACTTTGGCAGGGGTGAGCCTCTGAGCGCCGCCGCCGCCGATCACAAGGCTCGGACTTGCCAGCCGACACTGTCCACACTCCCGAACGGCCCTTCGCGCGCTGTCAACGTTTCTCGACATCCGTAGACAGGTTCTTGGCAGATGCGACTGTCGGCCACCTCGTTATCGGGTCCCTATTGTGCTTTCTGCAGTACTAGTGGTTCTAGTACAGCTCGACCGTCGACACGTTACCACCGTGAGCTGGCGCCCTCACCGCGTTCATCCCTCTGTCTTGCCCAACACGGTGCCATGCCGACCTCATTGTACGCTGTCGCGAGCCCTTCTCCCGGAGCGCAGGCCCCAGGTCTTCGCGGAAATGAGCTTTGATCGCGAAGCGCCGCACTACTAGCTCTCCTCGCCTCCGTCTGGCGCCCGTTCGGCCGTCCTCCCTGCGCCGTGGACACCAGACCTGTTCAGACGACGAACGGCCAGTGCCCGACTTCAAATCGCACGTCACGAGCCTCGCGATCCGCCGCGCTTCGCCGAGGCTCGAAATTGAACGGGACTATTCATTGGCCGGCCGCATCGAGACGGCCGTGCAGAACGCAAATTGATTGAAACTCGCGTTTTCCACACTCGAACTGGGCGGCGCGGTCCTGTCAAATGTCAGAGAGATTAGAAGGCGTGCGATGGCAGGCATGAGGGGGCAAGCATGGAATGTGAACCACTGTGTGATGCGGCGCGTCGGAGGCCTGCCCTCGAGCCTCAAGCTTCCAAGTATTATGGTGCCTCGCCTCCGACACGCACCCGCGCAAGCATGTAACGTAGTAATAGACGCATTTCATTCTGTCGAAGCCTCCACAAGCAACTAATACTATGGTATGTCGACAAGGTTCGTAATAGCGGGAGCTATCCAGAAGGGGTAAAATCAACTCTTGTTTACGTGTTCGTAGAAGATAGCCGTTGCCAATGGTGTGTGTTATGGGTGTGCGAAGCGGGGAGTGCAGTAATACTAGATAGAATTTGAGTGTCCGTCAAGGTGACAAGTAAGAATCGGCGACGTAGAGATCAGAGAGGTTAAAGCTCGTCATACACTAAGTTGGCTATTCGACAGTCTAAAGGAGGGGTGTCAAGGTGGCGGGTATATACAGCATGCGTCAGTGACGCAGAAAGGGTGGTAGCACAAACATGCGTCGGGGGAATAAACGTCCGTAGGAGCATCTCGTGTCTGCGCAACATCGCGGACGACGACGACAACAGGTAATAGTAGCAACAAGGGGGTGGGGAAGTGTCCGCGGACGCCTCTAAATGATGTCCATAGATAGCAGGGGGAAGGAGCCCATCAGGGAACAGATTGGTGAAAGATGTTGCGGGCGATATACACAGCAGCCACCAGTGGCGGCGTCGGGACGGGGCACATTAACACTTGCCATTCTGCTTGAGCTGCCACATCTTGACCGAATCGCTGCGTCACATAGTCAGCATAGACACTAACTACAGGAGAACGAAGACAGCTCACATCCTAAATGCGCGGTCGGTGTCGGTGCTTGGCCACGTCTTGGACCAAGTACTCTGGTTCTGCGCGAAACTCCAGAGTGCAAACTGATCGCCACTCTCATCGACCCAGGGCTTGTTGCCGACGCCATCCGGGAACCAGCCGCTCGTGCCACCGACGGCGAGGTCGAGAATGAGGTAGAACGGCTGATCAAACGGCGCAGCCGGAGAATTCGACCAGATGTTCGTCACGGGTATCTCTGTTGCCGTGTTGTTGTGCGCCGCTGCAGGATAGTGTCCACGGTCGAAGAAGCTGTGGCCGCCTTTACCGGTGATGTCGATCGTGAGCGTCGCCTGCAGCCTGCTGTCAACGTAGGTGCGTATGAAGCTGGGGGACCATTCCAACGAGTAGGTATGGAAGCCTTCAGCGAACGTGGTCCGCTTCTGCTGGTACCAGCCAAAGATTTGCGTCTGCAGAGTCTCAAAGACACCATAGTTGAGCGTCGACCGCACAAAGTTATCGCCCTGCGCAGGGTACGTCAGGTCGTTGCCCCGAGCCTCCATGATCTGTTGTTGGTGAGAATATGCGCGCATATAGTCATTAGATACCACTCACGTCAATTTCTCCAGACTGTGGCCACGGTCCATAAGTGTTGTTCGCGGGTAACATCCAGATAGCAGGCCAGAGCCAGTCACCGCGTGGCAGCTTCGCACTGACTTCGATCTTGCCAAACTGAATGGTGTGATGGCTCTGTGTGCTGATGCGCGCGCTCAAGACGGGCGGGAGGGCCTGATCGACAGACTGATCGCTCGTCGCCGAGCAATTGGCAGAACTCGGGCAGTTCTGGAGAGTCAACTTGCCACCGTCTGTAACGGAGCCGCCGGTAAGGTCGCTCGACTCCGAGGTCAGCGTAGGCATGATGTACAGCTCTCCATTTCTCGTGTACAAGTTACCCGATTCCTGAGTATACGCCTGGAACTCGCCATTGCCATCGCTGCCTATCCCGACGACCGCATTCCATGTGCTGGTCAAATCCAGCGAATCAAAATCTTCGCTCAGAATGAGACAGAGCTGATCGTCCTTCAGCTGACGGACGCCAGTCCAGCCAAGAAAGATGACAAGGGCCGCGCAGGCGACACCGATCACCCACATCGACAGTGTCAGGAAGTAAGCACAGCGTTCACGGGAATCTTTGTGCTTAAGCCATGGCTTATCCTCGGCAGTGAGCTTCGCTGCAAGACGCGACGAAGGCAGCGGCGCCTTGCCCATTTTGGGCCTGTACGGCGACATACCGGAGGCTTGGGGAGAATTAGGCAGGTAGGTAAGCGAGGGCGGGTACTGCGACGTGAGGTGCTGCTGGGGAAGTGATGGATACGAGGGAGGCGACCAGAGGGAAGTCGGACGCGAGGCCGGGGAAAGGAATGGAGCGCGCATGGGGATCGTGGTCTGGGAATTTGTTCTCGGAAGTGTGCCTTCTATATATGAGATTGAGACTTGATCCAAAAGAAATTCAGCCGAACAGAAGACACCCACCACCAGAGAGAGCCGCATTGCTTCCTGCCATGGCGGCGGCGGCACTGTTTCTGTAGACACCTCCGCCACCGGGCGTCCAGCTACCAGAATCACCCATGAATGGCGGGTGAGGCCTGCCCAACTCGTCCTGGTCATGACCGTTGACTGGGGCATATGCGTACTCGTCAGCGACATCCGTCGACGCCTGCTCTGCCCTGAGGGCACTGTAGCCGTCCATATTTCCTGGGGAGGTGGGGTATGCTACACCGGTAGCGGTGGCCGGAGAGCCAGGCAAACTACCGCTAGACAAGCGGTGGGCTGAATCGCGCGAAGGTCTGCGAGCGAGATTTGCAGGAATCGGTGTACCAGGGTCAGGGTTACCCGCGTGCGAAAGGAAGGGGAACGCTGATGGGGGAACACGAGAAGTCGACGGCGGAGTCTGTACGGGAGAATCCATGTAGTTCGGCGACGTGCTCTGACTTGAACGCCGCCTGTGGTGGTTCCGTGGGCGAGTCGAGCTGGCTGTGCCTGCGGTGTTCGCGCGCACACGGCGAGGGCCAGATTGAGTAGCGTTCGCCGCTGCTGCTGCCGCCGCCGCCGCCTCGCGGTCTGTGTTGTCTGAATCACTGGCGGGATCAACGGAGTCGTTGGTAGAAGACCACGATCCCCTGTCGGAAGAGTTCGAGTCCTTGCGCGAGCCGGCTAGGAAAAAGGGACGAGGCGGCGAAAGCGGGGTGTCGTCGCCGGCATGCTGGTCCACTGAGGAATCTGGTCCTGGGCTGTCTGCGCGACGGGCATCAGGCGATGTGAGGTGCGCCTCCTCCTCAGACGAAGAGGAGTGTGGTGCATGTGAGGCGGACGAGGCTGGCGACACAGGGGTCCTGTATGCGTCCGCCGAGGAATAAGCAGCCTTGCCAGAGTCGCGTCGTCTGTACATCCTCGTCGACCTGCAAAAGACCGGAAATCAAATTGGGTGGACCACGGGACTGGAAGCTTAAGTACCTCGTCGTCGTTGGCAGGCGGTGGGGAGGGGGCGAGGAGGGAGAAACTGGAGGCAACCCTGCAGCGTGGGACTCATGAGATAACAAAAACGCGCTCTCGCTTTGATTCCGGGGTCTCGGCATTTCTTACGTCAGGGGGTACAAACCCTAGATTGGGAAGGACTCGCCGGGGTCCCCGCCACCACGGCCTTCGCCGTCCGTCACCGCCATCTTCATGTCCTCGCCGACGTATTCTGTCACGTCACCGCCGCCGCCGGCGTTGGGCGCGACCGGGACCGCACCACGCATCATCGATTATCGCTCGTCATGCGCTCTATTCCCACCGCGTATCGCCATAGCAAAATCGTTTCTCGTCTGCATCCTCGTCCCCTGTGCTCCGTTGAGCCCCACTTTGGACCTGGTCGCCCTGGCAATCTTTCTCATCTCGCACGTACCCTTGTGCTCATCGTCTCCGGATCAAGGACCTGCGACACCCCAGGTGTATCTTTGTCCCCCACGGCTAATCTACCAAAGCAGGGATGTTTGCAGACGGTCGGAATTCCCCGTGTGCGCAGAACGCCGAAACATCTCCCGTCCGCAAATCTCGACGGCTTTGTCCACTCCGTGCGGGCCCGCTTCACAACACCCACAGCTATGCGCCGGCACCCGACGCTTCTAGGGTACGCAGCCTACGTCCTGCACGACATCTAACAGGCCAGACGATGACGAACTACGCGATCTAGGAACGATTAAACATATCTAAATTGCATCTGGGATCAATGACGCAACGGTTTCAGTCCTCGGGATAGCGATCACAGCGCGTGCACGCTAAGCGAGACGTCGCGATCAGCCGACATCCCGACACCTCGTGCGGCGCGGCACCCAGGGCAGGGGCCAGACTGCACCCCTCGCAGCCGCGGCGCTTAGCTTGGGCACCCACGTCTAACAAATAGCACACATGCACCCGCCTCGCGCAAAGTAGGCCTCCAGGCCCGCTTGCGCCATGGGTAGCGCACGCTTGCGACGCAGTGTGGAGCGCGTGCCTGTCAACAGCTTATCTCTCAATCGCGTCGGCAACGTTGCGCAGTTAGTGCACACCATTTACGTACCATATCTAAGTTCGCCGTTATACTTTATCACCGCAAGGGAGTTTCAGTAATTTCGCCTGCAGACGTGGTAGAGAAGGCTTGGAGACCTTGCGCGTTTGCCTGTCCGCATACTTGACCCTGGGATGCGGGTTCGCACCACGTCTTGGATGCACAAGCCTTCCATGCCATCAGATGCACCTTATCGCTGGTCAATATTTCCCGCCTCTTCACGCTCATTTTGGTGCGTTTTAGCGCAGGTACGGTAGCGGCGCAGCCGACTAGTCGCTACGACACAGCCTCGGTTTACAAGGCCTTCGTAAACAGAAATGTCAGAAATGAGGAGCACGCAGTGCCGACAGAAGCAAGCCGTCACATGAGATAACGGAGCCTAACCGTCTCCTTGCACGTTTGCTTCAATGCAAAGAGCTGCGATATCACATATGGTGGAAGTTGTCTGTTAGCTTCG